CCCCCCCCCCCCCCCCCCCCCCAATATTTTTTTTTGGGGGGGGGGGGAATAGAAGCCCCGAATTAAAAATTTGCCCCGGGCTTCCAGATTTCTCTGCGCGGCCCTGCTGACCTCAGAATGACATTTCATCAAACCTTTTCTCTTCAAGATTGGTTTAGAAACAAACTTAAAGTAGGGTTAGGTTAGGGTTAGTATTATGGTTAGGGTTTAGTTTTGCGTTAGGATAGCTTTTTCTACGTTATAAAAACGGAAACCTTATTTTGAAGTATGCTATCTAGCGATCACCTTATATAAATATTGGCATTGTTTTCGCAGAATGTGTTCATTTTCTCTTTTCAAGAATAAGGGAATATTGTAGAGAATTTTTTTAGCTTTAATTTGAGCCTAAGTTTGTTTGTTTGCGTACTATGTTGGCGGCTAAAATGTTCGTTATCCAAACACGAAATTATATACTAAAAAGTAAAATGCGTATAATATTCTTCAGTACTTTTTAGTATTTTACCGAAATGGCATGTGATAAAAACCAAACGTACTTGCAGGTTCGGTGAGTCCGGGATTGGACGCACCTCGGGTGGCTGGAAGTTTCCCGAACTCACCTCGCTTCGCTCGGTGAGCTCGGGAAACTTCCAGCCACCCGAGGTGCGTCCAATCCCGGACTCACCGAACCTGCAAGTACGTTTGTTATAGGGTTAGTGTTAGTAAAACCGTTGCTTTGTTACGTTTTGTCACTCTGAGGCCAGCGAAATAACCTCTTCCTAGTTCCAGAGGCTTTTAAATATGACGGGGCAAAAGAAACGCGAAGACGTAAGAGCCTCTGGTGAAATCGATTGCAAAACTCACGTCCATATTTCCATACTTGATTAGGGTCAGAATTTGAACCTCGCATATGCATATGATTGGCTATTTGTAAAAACATGTCAAACCGGTCTGGTAAATAAGCATGTACAATAGCTAATTATAGCCTGCAATAAACATTACACAATCGACTTGATTTTTTTCACAAACTTCGGACAAACAAACTGACTTTCAAATGAATGCAAATGAGCTATATTCCATTGTTAAGCCCGCACGAATTGTGGGAATATTCGGACAAACTACACTTGTGACGTCAATTGGAATATTTGCTATTGGATGCTATATATCAGATTAAAACTGTGGTACTACTATCGTCGTTTCTAACGTTTTTAAAAACAGAAAATTTGTTCCCATGCAAACCCCATATATACCCTGGTTCCAGAGGTTCTTGTGCCGCCGTAATGGGGCGGAAGATACGAGAACCTCTGGCAACCAGGGTAACCCCCCGTATGTTTTCTAACAAAATTTCATATTTGTTTTAAAAATAGCGCCAGTTTTCAAAATGAAGCCTCCAATTTTGTTTTTTATTTACCATCTCTTACCCGCTCTTTTTTTCCGATATTTATACGAGAACTAACGTCAAATTTTAAATCGACGCAAGAGAATTTAGGTGGCTCGGGCTATATTCAAACCTCAAATTGAGAGGGAGTTCAATATGAAGAACTATGCAGTGAACTCAATATATTTCTGCGACATCTAATCTAAGGTACTTAAAAATAAAGCAAAAAACTGGATATTGGATGTCAGGTTCTGTCTTCAACGCGATCATTTTCGTTCAGCCAGGCCGCTCTTTCAGTGAAACTGCCAAGTCCGCTGGTAATAATAAATGCATTTAAACATTACCTCCTCTGCATCAGCGAACATGGATGCATCCTCCGTAGACCTACGAAACAATTGAACAAACATTCAAAGGTGAAGTAATACAGCCAACAAAATTGCTGAAACTTGCAACACAATCTGATTTTAACGCATGTTAAGTGGAAATGTCAACACATGTTGCCTCGTGACTTGTAGTTTATGTGTATAAACATTTTCAATTAACCGTAGAAATCAGATTTTGTTGCAAGCAATTAAGGTGGCTCCATACACTTTCATCATCGGGGGACTGGTACCTAATCTTGAGTTTCGCGCGAAAATATTACAAATATATGCAAAAATAAATAAAACTTTTTCAGTCTAAAATCCGAACCACAAGTCATGATTATTTTGATGTTTCGATCTTTTTTGTTCTCATTTGTTCTCAAAGAACAAACTTCGTCCTGATTTAGCCCTGAACATTGAATAGCTAGTCTTTTTAGAATACATTTTAAGGTAAAAAATGCAATGTTTAACGTTCAAACTCTTGTGAAAACCGGCGATCGGCCCGACCGGCAAAACGTTTTTTACTCCAATATTTGACGTTTTATAAGTTCATATCCAGAGTTTTTTGTACTTACAACTGGTAAATGTATTCAAAGTGTCACTAACAGCAAAGGAATTCAGTCAAACAGCATCATACGCCGGCTCAAACTGTTTTAAATTGTCAACAACAACATGAAAACACACAAGTTACGACTGTAAACGAATATAAAACTATGTAGAGAAGCCAAAAAGTTCATACATGTCACACATATCTTATACCAAACGACACAATCACCTGTTTTCTTGGCGTTATCCCGAGTTAGCATGCAAAACTAAAGATATTTGCATTTCTAAGCAAGAAAACACAACATATATTTGATATTTCGATGAGACTAAAAACCTTTTTGTGCGTGTTTTTCTGGAGATGCGCCTGCGAAAACATGTACGCGCATGTCAATTCATTGATCTTGCAGAGCTCGAAAAACTTTCGGCCGAGCGAGTGAGATACCACAATAAAACGGTGTAATTCAAAATTTTGCACGGTGACATGTGATGAAATTTTGCACAACGATAACTTCTTTTAAAACAAATAGAATATCAAAATTTTAAAAAAATCTGTAGATTGGAAAACTTTAAATCCGCAATTTTTTATTCTGGCTATTCTAATCTACAGAACTTTTTTATTTTCAGGGATAAGATTCCGTATTAAAAGTGAAAGCTATACAGCAGTTAAAAATTGGGGGTCACCGGCAATATTCGGAAAATAAAGAATAAAAACCTGCTTAAAATAGCAAAAAATACCATATTTGGCGAGGCTACTGTTACTATGGAAACAATATTATGTTCAAGAATATTGCAATTTTTTCTACCAAATACTTAATTTATACTTGGGAATGCTTAAAATTAATAGATGGAGTAATACAATTTATAAATTGAAATTTTTACGCAATAAGGTATTTATACTACGGAACTGTATGGAGCCACCTTAAGTTGCAGCAATTTTGTTGCTGGTATTACTCCAGCTTAAATAAACGTTTAAAACAAATGCGCATGAAGGCCGTTTCAGATTCTGTTCTTCACATTTACAGAATCCAAATCTTCAATTTATACTAATTTTTCACAAAAATATTTTATTATTTGTGATACAAAACAAGTTAGGTCCTATATGGAGTAAGCACGTACAGTATTAATCAATCCGCGAAGTGCAGCGGGTCGGCATTTCGTGATATCTCAATCTTTGGTTACTTTTTGTCAATTCAGTGATAGATGGACCACTTCAAAGTGTCGAGAAGACTTGGATATGATATTGGAGTGACAACATTACGAAATGAACTTAAACATCGAAGATCTTAATATATCTTGACAAAATGTACAGACTTACTCTAGTTTCTTTTTCTTCTTGGGTGTAGAAAGCTCATCATCTTGATCACTAAATTCATCTGAACTAAGATTCTCTAGTAAAGCCTGAAAAAGCATTCGGAACATGTTTGTGTAACCTTTATTCTTTTGAAATATATATAGACAACATCAATTATTAGAGCTACGGGCGATACAATTTGCTGGTCGTAAGCAAGCCGCCAGACGTGGATTTAGGTACTATACTGTAAAGCCTGGTTCACACTAGCAATTTTGTCGGCGATTTTGTGTTTCTCACAGATGCAAATGAGTGACCTCGCACACAAAAGTATAGAGTCGCAAACGGATACCTCCTGCAACCAGTCACCATAACTCGGCCTTGACCCATGCAATCACAACTCAAACTTTATTACGATATAATTCGAAATTGTGTGAAGCCTCTCCTCCAAAAGTAGTTCTCGCAAACTCCCCCTCCTTCGGAGATGCACTTACCTTTTCATAGTCTTTCTCAGTGTACTTTTCTTGTTCGTCTAAGTACAAAATAACAACACAGAACATTCTTGAATATTGTATAAAAACTTCAACTTAATATTAAAAATTTAATATAACTTACAGCCCAACCATCTAACTTACCATCTGAAGCATCAATCTCATCATCTGAGAACTGCATATCATTGTAGTCAAACTCTATTAAAAAATACACGATTTGATGCTGTGCACGTTTTTATTTAGCTTGAAATATTTGCCACCCAAAATGGAAAACAATTATGTAAAATTATGTGACGTCATTCGTAAGGGCGTAATATACATGGTGAAAATAAATTATAATCCTTTTCTCATTATAATCCTTTTCTGAAGTAGATAATGAGGTAGTAAGTAAATAATGAGGTAGTAATGAAGTAGTGGTAGTAATAGTTTTCACTGTGGTAAACTGTTAACTAGTGTTTGAAACTCAATTTGGGGTTGATTTTTCTGACCTAATCATATCAGGCGTTTAATTTTGCTTGATAGTAAAACTTATATGCGACTGTATGGCTCATAAGTTCTTTGTATGTTTGCATGGCGATAAAACATATAATAGTTTTGTATGGCCCATGTTATCCTAGTATATCCCTAATATACCTTCATCGTCTGACATATCCTCGTCAGAGTCCCCATCTTCTCTCCTCTTCTTTGGTTTGCTTGTCTGGGATTTTTCGAACTCTCTTTTTAGAAAAGAAAAATGCATGATAAATGGGTTAGCTTTATTGTCCTATATTGTCCTACCAGCAACTATCGTCCGTGTACATAACGGCCATCATCCGGACTTACACCTAATGCAGACGGCCACTTGAGCAAGTGCCAATAAATATTCCACACAATTCGTGAGAAATCCCCAAGAACATGTTTCCTTGGCAAGTGCCAAGTTGGTTTGTAGCACTTCGTACAGTAAACATTTTTTTCCTTGACAAGATTTTCTAAGGGATTTTTACATTTGTTTACGAGAAGAATGAAATGTACACATTTCTGAACAGACGTGGACGGTTTTCTTGTAAACTGTAGACACCAACAACTCGAGTTAGTTTCCCTTCTTCAAAAGCTAGCATGACTAGCTACAACATGCAGGAGAAGATTCGTCAAGAAAACCAATAATTTGTCATTACATATGGGCGGCAATGAATTTTAGCCTTATTTATAAGGTTTGCAATTAGAAAGTATTTTCCTATTAATGCATTATACTTACCCGGCAAAATCCATTGCGACATTGTCCTCACCAAATTCATCTAACATGGATTAGGAAAGATATAAATCAGTTTCAAAATGTTCTCCCTAGAGGTCCCATGCGCGGTTGTACTCAGGCGTCGTTAATAATTTAAGTACATACTGTACTTAAAAATACTATAGACACTATATAATAAAAATACTTAGCTCTTAAACCTAAAATACGATGCATTTTTGCAGGCACAAAAAGTAGTAATGACCCTGGTTATAATATATAGGTTAAGCATGGCCCATCCCTCAATGGTCCAGCGCTACTACATGCATGAGGAGAGCGCGGAAACCAAAGCTCTCGTGATGTGGTGGTCACCACGCTTGCTTTTCAAGCTGGGAGACCCAGGTTCTATCCTTGGTCGGACCTCTACTCAAGGTCTTCAAATAATTGAGGAGAAAGATAGTGCTATACCTTTACAGTACATTGGCATCAGTACATGGTTTGGCAATAGCCTGTTGGGACATCCGCTCACCAATGAGTGCGAAAATCAATAAACAATTCAAAGTAGAAAATCTCTGCGCTGTCGGATACAGAGTCAAACTGAGAGTACTCTTCTCATATGCGACCGAGGCAAAATTATAATGATGACGAAAACAAACGCATTGCAACAAACAAACCAGAGTCATAGAAGTGAACGGCATTTGCAATAAACAATGCACCAGTAACAACTCGCAAATAAATTCAAACTTGACTTACCTAGTGTCTCATCTTCTTTTTCATCCTCGTCGTTTTTCTCAACTTTATTATTATTCTTTTTCTCTTCTTCCTCTTTTCGTTTGAAATATCTTAAATGTTTGTATGTTGAGTTCCAAATGGTGCATATTTTGCATATAAAAAGAACACGTAAAAACGTCTGGGGTCGGTTGTATGAAAGGCTTAACTACTTTTAACTACCCGTTGTGTATAGTTAACTTCAACTACTTGTTAATACAACTGGCCCCGGCTGTGCTTTTCGCGTTAGGAGGTCGAGCTTTTCAACTTCAGAGGAGTTTTCAACTTAGAGGACAACCTCACTGTAATTTATATGTTTGTGATGTTGCTCTGAGTGTATTCACACCGGGCAAGCTGAAAAGTTTGCTTGGCCGCGGTGGGAATCGAAATCGCGACCTTTGGTTTGGTCTAAATTACTGTAATTTATTAACTGTATTTATTATATGGCAAGCATCATTTCCGGTGAAAAGGCGAACTGTGATTGGCTGAGAAGCGCTTTCAGCGGTCCATTATTTTCCCGTAATGGATCGGCGGGAAAATTATAATTTAATTTGTTATTAACGAGATATCTTCGAATGGTTTTTAGTGGAAAAAAAGGAATACATTGGTATTTTTTGTTTTCTTCGACTAAAAATGTTTACCACGCTATTAATAATTATGCAATTCAAATCATGCACTTTTTGTTTGTTTCGAGTATAAATGCCATGTAATAAACTTTTTATTAACCTCGCTTGCTCGGTATGTACAGAGAAATATCGGACCTCGGTCTTTTTCTGCAAACCTCGCCCTACCGGCTCGCTCTGTAAAATAGTCCTCGGTCCGATATTTCTCTGTTACTATATAGTAAAGTATCTACGTTACCTTGTTCATTATTTTTCAGTTATAATAAAGTCACTTTACCTATAAAAGAACATCTCGTCTTCACGAACACCTTCTTCCTTCTTATTCAAAAATGCAGCGGTGTTGACTGGAAAAAAATTTAGTACAAACTGTTGTTATCTTATGTTAAAATTATCTTATCAAATATTGCTTGTTGTTCTCAACAGTGCATGTGGAATCGTTATTGTAACATGGGTTTTTCCAAGCCAAATTTGACTCCATTAAGAGAAATCCAAGTCTTCTTATTAAATATCCAGATGCAATAATATTGTATGTGTCATTCAAAAATGGCTACTGAAATGGTAATTATATACCTGGTTGTTCAAACTGTCTTTGAGAAACTGTCTTGGGCTAGTAAAAATAGAGAATAACTATGTTTAAAAAGGCCATTGTATTCGATGGGTATTGTAGATGGAAATCATGGAGTGGAAATTTTGTATACATTTATTAAACCTAACCAAAAACAGCTGCGAAAAATGCAACTCTAGGTCACTGGCAGGAATCGAACTAATTAAGTTACAGAGGCCAGTTGTCGAGTTCGAAAGGGCCGCAGGTTCGATTCCTGCCAGGGACCTAAAGTTGCATTTTTCGCAACTGTTCCTGATTAGGTCTAATAAATGCATTTCAAAAATCATTAATAATTCATGAGGAAAACACAAAGAAAAATCATAAGCGTGTCGTATCTTTATATGTGCATGATAGAGATTTCCCTTGATTTACATAAACTTTAACTTTGATTTTCTCGACTTACACAACGTATTTTTTTTAATTACTTCGCCAATTGAACTTACTAGATCGATCATTTTTGAAGCAATTTAAAACATTCGCAGTGCGTGTTTTATCAGACCTAAAGATACTCGGCTTCGCCTCGTATCTTTATATCTGATAAAACACTGCTGCTCATGTTTTAAATAGTACATAAAAATTCCACTCGATAATTTCCATCAACAATGCCCTTGAACTACTACTATTCAAACGAGTGAGACGCCAACTTTTGTTTTCTTGAATTATATTCTTAATTTATTTCGATATTTGACATGAATGTGTCGCGTAAGTATATCCATATTATTTCCATACTATATCCATAGTATTTCCATACTATATCCATAGTATTTCCATACTATATCCATAGTATTTCCATACTATATCCATATTATTTCCATACTATATCCATATTATTTCCATACTATATCCATATTATTTCCATACTATATCCATAGTATGAAAATTGCAATTAGTATGAAAATCGGATTTCCATTGTACTATTTTCAACTAAGATCCATGCTATTTCCATAGTAAGGATTTGGAAAAAAATTACCAGTACTTAAATATGTATATATTGTGAGTTTACCTGCATAAGTGAACCGCCGTGGTCTAAACAAGGATAAAAATATATCAATAAAAATGTGATTCGTCTAATACGACCAGTCAGGCAGTCATCATGCATACAGTAAATCCAGTAAATAGTACCTTGATCTTTCTTTTTTGGATTCTTGTAGACAAGTCTATCCAGAAATCTAACAATGAAATGTTTAACACTGCATGTTAGCTGTTTTATTTCAAGTCACTATTTCAAGACATATTTTAAGACAAACGCCCGTATTCTAAAAGCTCACTCACATTCAATGAGTGGAAGTTCAATCTGAGCTTCTCTTGAGTGTCAATGTTGTTTTTGAATAGCTGGAGGATTATAGTGTCGTACCTTTAGTTACTATGTGACTACTTACCCTCCAGCTATTCAAAAACAGCATTGACACTCAAGAGAGGCTCAGATTGAACCTCCACTAATGGACGACTTGCGCTTTAGACTAAATTTTAATCTAAGTAAGAACAACGAAATCTATCACCACAGCTAGAAAGAGCGTCTTGGAATTAGTAATATTACAAAGTTTGGTTGAGAAATGTTGTAAAATACGGAAAATATAGCCCTTCAAAGTTGGCAAATTTGTATACTTTTGTATTACGTGCGTGAATTGGTAACTAAATTAGTTACCAACTTCCGCACGTAATAGAAATGTATACAAATTTGCCAACTTCGCAGGGCTATATTTTCCGTATCTTACAACATTTCGCAACCAAACTTTGCAGTTTTTCTAATTTTGATAACTTCTTTCCGAAAATATCCTTTGTTATTCCCAGATTAAAAATTTTTCTAAAGCGCAAGTCGTCCATTGAAGACAATATATACAGGCCTGAATATTAGCGGCCGATCACCGACATTGTCCGGTACAAATCTGCAATTTCAATCGTTTTGACAGGTACTATTTCGGAGTGTTTACAATTTCAGGGTTCAGAATTTACAAATGTTATTATAATCTGCAAAAAACGCCGAGCCCGCTGCTCAACGGGATTGAGCAATGTTTTGCTGCGCACATTGTACACACTTGTCAACAATATTGAACAATCTTGTTGAGCCTGAATCAGGTGTAGCAATATTGTTCAATATTGTTGACACTGTGAACAATATTGTTGACACTGTGAACAATGTGGGCAGCAAAGCATTGTTCAATCCTGTTTTCATCAATATTGCATCAACCTGAGCGTTTTTAAGCGTGTATATATTTCTCACTTATATTTAATTTGCATAAATTGCGATGCTGAATACGAACCAATCGGAGCGCACTAAAATCCGACCAATAGGAATGAGTTAAATTTAGCACGTGTGTATTAGGAGTATATCCGGGGCCAGGGCCAAATCCATAGTGAACTCTACTCTATACTTTAGCCTGAAAACAGCGAACCTTTCCATTGACCCGCGAATTTTAGGGCGTGGGGAAACGAAAGTGTGTGTTCAGGCTAACTCGGGTCCAGTTTACTTCGCGATCAAATCCAAGATGGTGGTCAATTTCAAATCTGAGGACTTTTATATACAGTGATATTAAGCTGTTTTTGCAGTCTTCGAAGCTGTTTTGAAAGTAAACAAGCTGCCTGTGTGATGTTTTCAAGGCTGTTAAATGGGGTATGTTATGTATTAATACTTTACTAGCGACAAAATACGGTAAAGATACGATTAAGGCCTCTCGCCTCACCGACCAGTCGCCTGTCATATATCATTGACTGACGAAAACGTTATAAAGTTTTTGCATGTTTCAGGTTAAAATGACTGCAGTTGTTGTTAGGGGGAGCACATATATATATATATATATATATATATATATATATACTCAACTTGCCATGAGAAATGTCAAGTTAAATAATACAGTATATAATGTATGAGTCAAATCCAACCGAGATCAACCCCCCCCGGGGGAATTTGACTTTTGAAAAAATAATTGGTCAAATGCCTGCCTGAGCAGGCAAAAACCACAGTCAAATGCCCTGCTATAGGGGTAGTCCTGGTTTGGGAATTTTGACTGAATTTAATGCGTGAATCAAATCGAAACCTTGACATCCCCCCCCCCGGGCATACCTGGGGAATTTGCTTGTTTAGTATTTTAAGAAGGCGGGAATTTGACCTTTTTTTCTA